GATTAACAGTCAGAGATCTCATTCGCATCGTTGGCATATCGGAAGAACCAGTGAAAACCATTTTAAAAGATCATTGGGCCTAAGAAAAGTGAAAGCACAATTGGTTCCAAAATCACTAAATTCTTTCGAAAAACAGCGTCGCATTAACGTCCGTGAAATAATGCTTTCCGACTACCACGATGTCACGAAACGTATTATTACTGGCGACGAGTCTTGTATCTACGCTTGTGACCCGGAAACAGACGATCAATCGACCGAATATCGTGGCAAAGGTAAGACGAAGCCGAAAAAAACATCAAGGCAGGTCAAAAATCAAGTTTATATTGACAATTTTCTTCGTTTATCCAGCTGTGGTGCACTCCGAATTCCTTCCGTGTTACGCGCCGTTTGCACAAAGCTATTCGTAAAACGAGGTCGGTAATGTGGGCCGAAAACTATTGAAGTCAAGACTTCAGAATATTTCAAAAATAAAACAAAAAATATGATTGAAAAGGTAGGTGAGAATCCGATATTCATCAAACGCAAAACGCACTGGTGGCAAGACGTGGGTCCAACAATCTAGCGCACGGCGCTCCAAAAATGAGTCGAATCTGAAAAACCAAAAACAGTTTATAGTTGGTCAAAAATCATTGTGATCATCGTTTTCTTTGACTAATGTGATGTAGTTCATCATGGATTTGAGGCCAAAACTTTATGGATTTTGGACTAACCTTTTGGCCAAATACGAATAGAGTGTATTCGCTAGGCAACCGTATTCGGCAGATTTGAAACCCTCGGAATTTTTATTTTTTTCGAAACTGAAAAATCTTCCACAGCCATAAGTCCATTGAAGTCATTAAAAGCCAATTGCTAAGGCAATGTAGACCACCGCAATCCAGACATATATTAAGTGTATGGGAAATTGCCTTACTTATATCCTCAGGAGCTAATTTTAAACTATTTTGAAACAGTCCGGGTCAAATTTGATCAGATGTGTATATGATATTTAAGCTTTGGCAATCTTATATTTTAAAGGCGGGAATAAACACTGTTATTAAAATACATGAACAAATTCTTTGTTAGTCCGGGTCAAATTTGATCGCCAGTGCGGGTCAAATTTAATCATATGTGTAGATGTAGTCCTTGAAAAACGAAGAAGGATACTGATAATTTCCAATATGTGTGTTGGGCATAATTTAGTCGTATATGCGGCCTTCCTTGAACTCAGTACTTTTACTCATTTAAATTTTATATTGTATGTATGTAGATTTATGCAACTACACATATACATACACATACATCTATATACAGCGTACGTACCTGTTAATACTTCAACATGAGCACATACATACATACATACAAATGTATATACCTATGTTAAAATTACATATTATATATTCTGATTATAGTTATGCCTGTTTGTGTATATAAATTTATAAGTGCTGCATTAATATACATATACAAATGTGTATGTACATATAAATTCTATGCATGTAGCACAAATGAAACGGTATTATGAAGCGCATAATTTCAAAGCAACTATTGCGTGCCTCATTTCAAATTGATAGAAAGCGACAGCAAAAATTAAAACCCACACACATACATACATATCTTGGTATGTATGTGTCACAACTAACAGAAGCACAAAGTTTGTGGCACTCAGGAAATTACATACAAACACACATACACATATGTACATTAATAGCACACCACTACAATTCAAATTGATTAGTTTTACTTGTGGCTCGAGCGCATCCATTTCACTGCTGGGTGTAACTTCATACAAATATACTATATTTATATATTTAATAGCAGTGGAAGGGAGGTACACTGTGTCTGCAGGCATAACTGAAATATAAAGTGGATTTTTTTTTAGAAAATTTTATGTTATAAACTATATTTGCTTTGAAATATTTGAGCAATAAATTTTATATGCACAATGGGGCTTGTTATCTGGCGCATGCAGAATCCAACTGTACTTACAAATGTCTGCTGTATACATCTATGTATATATGTACATATGTACATACTTGATATATCTATATTAATATGAGTACTATAAGAGAAATTTTCTCTATTTTCAGTCAAACTTTGTAGTAGCACATTAAAGTTTTGCCACGAGCAAAATAATCGTAAAAATTTGGAATATCAAACATTTCAATCCTCTAAACTTACTTACCCTTTACGGCTTAGTGGCTTAAGTCCACTATACGAGGTATGTTCAAAAAGTATCGCGAATTTTGAATTTTCGCGGGTTACGTATATTCGAATTTCGAATTTTTTGTGGCGTTATGTTGGTACTCATGTCTCTCACTTATGCCGACAAGCTCGGCCATTTTGAAAGTTCATTTAATTGTTAACAGCTGCTTTGCTTGCACGTGTTTTGGATCGTCTTCGATTTTTACCTATTCAAGAAAATGGATCAAGGAACCTGTATCAAATTTTGTGTGAAAAACGAAATTAAGTGCGCGGATGCATTCCGAAGGAGAAGCTACCTTGGACCGAAGCAACGTTTATCGGTGGTACAAAATGTTCTCAGAAGGCCGAGAAGATGTGAACGATGAAGAGCGTGCTGAACGCCCGAGCACTTCAACAACAGACGAAAAAATTAACGAAGTGGAGAAAATGGTATTGGCCAATTTTCGAATCACCGTTAGAGAAGTTGTTGAGGACCTAAACATATCGATTGGCTCGTGCCATTCGATTTTTATCAATGATTTGGGCATGAGACGGGTCGCCGCGAAATTCGTACCAAAATTGCTCAATTGTGACCAAAAACAGCATCGCATGAACATTGCTCCAGAGGGTCATAACTGGTGACGAATCGTGGGTTTATGGTTATGACGTGGAAACCAAAGCTCAATCATCTCAATGGAAGCTGCCGCACGAACCAAGACTGAAAAAAGCGCGCCAAGTTCGGTGGAATGTGAAAGATTTGCTGACAGTTTCCTTTGATTACAGGGGCGTGGTGCATCATGAGTTCTTGCCACAGGGAGAACGGTCAATAGGGAATATTATCTGCAAGTTATGCGCAATTTGCGCGAAGCAATCCGCCAGGAACGCTCGGATTTGTGGAAGAACAAAAATAGGCTTTTGCACCACGATAACGCCTCTGCTCACACATCGTTGCTTGTGCGTGACTTTTTGGCCAAAAACAACACACTAATGATGCCGCAGCCACTGTGACTTTTTCTTGTTCCCTAAACTGAAGAGACCCATGAAAGGACGACATTTCGCTTCTCTTGACGAGATTAAGACGGCATCGAAGGAGGAGCTGAAGAAGATAAAAAAAAAATTATTTTTTGAAGTGCTTCGAAGATTGGAAAAACCTTTGTGTATAATATCTCATGGGCATTACTTTGAAGGGGACAAAAAATATTTTCATGAATAAATAAATAATTTTTGAAAAAAACACAAAATTCGCGATACTTTTTAAACACACCTCGTATTTCTTCTTCTTTAATGGCATAGACACCGCTTTCGTTGTTATCGCCGAGTTTACAACAGCGCGCCAGTCGTTTCTTCTTTTCGCTATGTGACGCCAATTGGATATTCCAAGCGAAGCCAGGTTCTTCTCCACCTGTTTTTCCCAACAGAGTGGGGGTCTTCCTCTGCTTCCCCCGGCGGGTACTGCGCCGAATACCCTCAGAGCTGAAGTGTTTTCATCCAATCGGACGACATGGCCTAGCCAGCTTAGTTGCTGCCTCTTAGTTCGCTGAACTATGTCAATTCCGTCATACATATATCTCGTACAGCTCCTCGATCCATCGACTTTGGTATCCGCACTGGTTCCAAAATAGACAAAATTATTTACAACTTCGAAGTTATGAGATGAGATATTTCGTCTTGCCCTAATTCACTATCCATACCCATTGGTTTGGCTTCTTTGTTCAACCTGATATCGATGTTATCGGCATACGCCATTTTCTCTATCCAGATCTCCAATTCGAATTACTTTTCCCAGGAGTAAATTGTAGAAGTCGCACAATAGAGCGTCGCTTTGTCCGAAACCTCGTTTGGTACCGAATGGCTCGGAGAGGTCCTTCCCGGTCCTGATGGAGCTTTTGGTATCACTTATCGTCGGTTTACACGGCAGTCACCGTCATCGATTGGGAATCTCCATCTCCAGTTGTGATGCTTTCACTGTCATTCAGCAGGCTGGAGAAGTGTTCCCTCTATATAGTTAACAATGACAATTTCGAGTCTTTTTCTCTAAAACCTGCAAGTTTCGACTTAGACTATTCTCTTAAACTGTATTTTGGAGCCAGGTTTTTTGAAATGTGGTCAAATATAGACCAAATAATTACCTAGTAATAGGTTAGCAATGAAACATGCACCTTACCTTAAGTTGTCTCAACTATTTTTTGAAAATATCAATGTTCTAATGTATTGTAATAAAAATCCTTATTATCGTCTTCAAAATTGGCTCCTAAACCATTGAAGCATGTCAATGATTATTCCAATTTTCCATACACTTGTTATCAGTCTCCGCTGGAAAGGTCTATAGTACCTTCAGCAGATGATTTTTAATGACTTGAATGGTTAATTAACCAAAGTATGTTGAGTCGACCCCTAAGAGATCCTCTGACAGCGATGTGATTATTTTAAAACAATGTTTATAAACTTATCGATGTTTGGTCATTAACAGCAGGCGCGGCAACTGCGGGAAAGCTCAACACCGCAGAGAATTAGAATGAGATCAAATTTCACACGAACAGGAAAGGAAAATGTTTACTAATCTGGGCGAAAATATGTATCGATTCCAGTCCGAGTTAAATTTGATCAAATCATATAACGTTGAACTATGTACATATATACATATATCCTTTTATAAAGGATGCAGAAAATTTCAACATATTCTCCGTTGGTTGGATCGCTCTTGTGAACGGCATCTACATGTATTGCCCATTATTTTCTTGTTAACCCGTATTTTCTTTTTAACACGATTTAATACTTTTACAAAATTTTTGTATTTATAAAAATATAACAACAAATTAAATTTGTCTTTTTATTTCTTCAAGGAGTACGACGTACAGGATCATCGACCATTTCTCTCACTCAATCAAAGTGGCTTAAATAAGGCGGATCAAATAAAGTTTGCACGTTATTTGGGACAGGGACTACCCACATTTACGCTTTTCTGCATTTATAGTAATTTCAAGAATCTTTTCTGCACTAAACGAACAGAAATGTAAGTAAAACGTAGAAATAAACTTATGCATAGTACATAAGGTTTGAAAATAAATTATTTAATATTTTTTTATTTTTTTAGTAACTAATTAATGTGTTATTTCTTTTAACTTTTCTTACATTCAGCTACACAAAAGATGGTTACAATTTGCCTTATATATTGGACAAAACGAAACGTTTTCTATCGAATACAACAGCAGGTTAGTTTCACGAAATATTTTGAACAATTACTTTGCATAAATATTAGGGTGGGGCAAACAAATATTTTAAATTTTCTTGCGTTATTTCTGGCGTTATTTCTGGCGTTTTTTCACAGTATCTGTGGAAAAATAAAATATTTTTGGCCCACCCTAAGGGGTGATCCTTTCACTTGAATATAAAACTAGTTGGATCTTAAGTTATTATTATAAAAAATAAAGGCTGCTTTTGGAAAACGTGGTTTCTATCATTGTATCATTACACGACTGATGTTTCAGCGATTCCCAACTTTTTTTTATTATTCATATTTCGATAATTAATGTCTGTATCGTTGATATCGTGATTGAAATATACACTTTTTAAACAAAAATAAATGTTTTATACTTTTTTAATTCTTAAAAATATTAAAACAATCCCTCTATCCATAAAAAAAAAAAACATAAAACAAAAACGCTTATACTTTACAATGAAAATAATTATACCATATAAACACTAATACATAAAAGCATACATATACATACATATGTTTTCTATGTATATGTATTAAAAAACTTGTTTTATTATTTTGTTAATTTTTTTTAATTTTTTTATTTTTGGTTTTTAGGCAATACTCCGAGTAAAGGAAACCCTAGCTCGTCACATTCACAAACACAGCCACAGTCACAGTCACTGCCACAGTCACGACCCCAATCACAACAAGAACAGCAAGCACCATCACAATCACAACAACAATCAACACCACTAACACAACAACAAACAGCACCAAAAACACAACAACAACCGCCTCCACAAACACAACATCTAGCACAACCGCAACAACAACAAATTCCACAAACACCACAACAGCAACCTGCACCCCAATTACAACAACAACAACAAATTCTACAAACACCACAATCACTACAACAGCAACCTCATCCACAATTAGCACAACAACCACCTCAATTCCAACAACAAACATCACAATCGCTACAAACACATCCAATGCAAGCATATCCTTTACAATCACTCGCCCTACAATCGCAACAGTTGCACCAACCACCACATCCGTTGCAATCTCAATCACCACAATTGCAATCGCTGGCAGCTGCACATCATCAGCTGCGTGCACACTCACCGCACACACCACCGATGCAACCACTGCGTCCAATGCAAACGCAACCACTGCAAGCACATCCCTTACAACAACAACAGCAACAACCGTTACAACCTCATCCTTATCAATCACAACCGCTGCAACCACATCCATTACAAACGCAACCGCTACAACCACAACCACCAAAACCACCACTTCCAACACAAACACATGCACAGTTGTTGCACCAACAAACACCGTCGTCACCACTACCGCCTGGACACTTACAACAGTTACAACTGCAACAGCAGCACCAACAACAACAATCACCTTTACACATACCGATGTCCATGTCAAGGGGTTTATCCAAATGATTTTGATGTGAACATTTAACTCCTAATTCCGAATAAGTTGCTGAGTGCAGAAAATTAGCTAATCAACAAAAAAACAAAAACAACAAAATACGAAATTTTGTATTAAAATTGTACCATATGCATTAGTTATTACATATGTATATGTATATGTATGTATGAAATTTATAGTTTTTTTCATTACAACAACACTAGCATATTTTATTTACATAGTATGTGTGAATGTGCGTATTTTGAAAAAAATAATAATAATAAATATGCTCGACTGCAACAAATGCTTTGTGCCACATTTTCAGCTGTTACAAAAACAAAAAGTAATATTATAATTTTATATATAAATAATTTGAGAAAATTGAGGTCAAGTATATACAGCTATATACACACAAATATATATATATATACAAACATACAGATGAACTATATACATACATATGCAATGTTATTCCTTTAAATGAGATTATTTAAATTTACTTAGTTATAAACATACACACACATACACTCAAGAATCTGCACTTTTGCTTCGTCATGTTTGACATAAATATATAATATTATATAATATATTTACATGTAACTATTGAAAGGCATGTACATACATACATACATATATGCATGTACCTAGCGTAACTCTCCTATATATTCTCGTTGTGTGTGTGCTTGTAATAATGTTTATTATTTTTTGTGTTGACTATATAGTATATTAGCCAAGAGTTTAATTATCATGATTTGTATTAAATAAAAAATATTATTTGTCGGAARTAACGGCAAAATCATGTACGTATTATAATGCAACGCCAAGTAGTGCATACTGATGTGCAAAAAATAAAAACAATAAAGAATTAAAAATAAAATAAAAACTATATTATATGCGTAATTAAAATATTTTGTTTGTCTGTATGTATTTTTCCGTATCTGCGCCACGCGCTTTATTTCTCTCAATCAATGCTCTATTTTCTTAAATTTTATTTTTATTTATTTTTGCATTTTTCATTTATTTTATTTGCATTTGTAGTCATAATTTTTAGTTGGTTTTGTTTGTGCGGATTACTATGACGGATCGAGCCTGCTTGCAGCGGCTAAAAATAGTTGGCAGCATAGCGCTGAGCATGCTAAATGATCGCTAAATTCATTGGGACTGCCTAACTGGCGGGCGGTTTTAATTCACGCACACTCGTGCCAACAATGAAAATGAAAATGAATTGGTTTATCTCTGTCATAAATTATGAGAGCTTTATTTATGCAAATACATGTGTATGTACAAACAAACGTGTACTGAAAAGTCAGTGTATCTGTGTAAATACATTTTTATGCAGTGTAAATATAAATTTATGCAGAGCTATGTCGTGTATAGCGCGCCATCTAGGTGACAGCACCCAACCAACTTTTTATTTAGCCCTCAATTTGAGGTTAAATTTATAAATTAAATTTTTTTTTTACATTGAAAGTTTAAATTATGTTAAAAATTTAAAGAAAATAGTAATTATTAGTGTTCAGATCACAATCGCTACAAATTTTGCGATTTTTTTATTAAGTAATTTTAGTGCTTTTTTGATTTTCAAATTTTAATTAAAATTTTGGGATTAAAATTTAAATTTCAAATTTTAAATTACATTTGGTATGTTTGGTGTAAAATTGGAAAATTTTACTTTTTAACTTAAAAAAGAAATTTTAATTTTATTTTTTAATTTAAAATTAAAATTGAAAATTTAACTTGTTAATTTAAAATAAAACCTGAAAATTTTACTTTTTAATTTAAAATTAAAATTGAATTTTTCATCCTAAACATTTTGGATTTAAAATTGAAAAAAATTATTTTCAATATCAAAAATACAGAAAAAATAAAGAAAGTTTACCCAGTTTACATATGGATTTCTAACTGAAACACTAATTAAATATAAAAAAGAGCTAAACTATTTTTATATTATATATTACAACCAAAATGGTGGTAAACCAAATAGAAAACGAAGTACTCAAACGCGGAAAAATGTAAATTCAAAAAAACTTTATTTGTTTG